TTACAGCTGTTATAATTAATCAGATAGCTGGTATTTGCTTAAGAGAGTAAAATGCCAAACCAATTTCCATACAGATTTAAAAAAAAGTTTCCTTTTACCCAAAGGCTTCTTATCTGCAAATTGCTCCCCATACACAGCATGCAACATGCAGTTCTATGTAAATGTGGCTAAGCCAAACTGTATTATCTACACAATTAGTGTTTAGCCTAGAATTGGTGATCAGTTGTAATTTATTACAGATCATCCTATCTGCTTCTGCCACTGGCATAATTAACCTTTGGCACAGCTATTACTTACTGCTTATTTGCAATGTATGTACTCAAAAAAGCTACTTTTGTGCCAAGAAGGTTTATACCATTTTACAAGCTTAATTACAGTTCAAAAATAGATGTCTACAGTAAACAGCTTCATTGCCTCTATTGAAACAGGAGAGGAAAGCAGCTGAGTTTGATATAAAACAAAACAAAAAAAAGCAGATTGTTAGAGATGACAAGGAAAAGTAATTCCAAAAGAAGAAATGTAATTCTAGCCTTCAAATTTGAAGGACTTCAAGCTTGATGAAATCTACACACCAAAAGAATTCCAGCAGAACATAACAAGGCAGGGCATACTGCAAAATAATTAAGCAAAGGATCATTATGGTTCACATCCTTTTACAGGCAACCACAATTCAATGAACTCTTACCCAAAACACAAAACGGTATCATTTCATGCTTGGAGACATGTTCAAAAGAGGGAAACGATTACAGCTAAGGTCTAAATTTTAATAACCTGATTCCTCCAATTAAAAAGAAAAAAAAAAGCAAGAATCAGACACCTGACATTTGCTTTTTATGACAGAAGTCCCGGAGAATAAGTATAGTGTAAAGGAGCAGTAAGAATTACAGAACAGATAACAATCACACTCAGTAGACCAGAAATGCCATACAAAAAAGGAAGGTGCTCCCCTAAGCTGTGGTGTTCTATCCAAAAAAAAGGGGGAGAAAACAAATGGGACAAAAGATCTGCAAGACAGTGTGATCATATGAGCCTCATTTCAGAAGGAAAAGAAAACAAGGCAACACCTTCTACTTTACATTGCCCACAGAGGCATCTGACCAAGATCAGTTTTTCCCATCCCTGGTCCAGTTTCCAACATCTTCAAATAAAAATCAAGATACCTCAGAAATAATTACATTCATACAGATTACATACATACAGATGAAAATTGATGGTCACGAAAAGGAAGAACTGATCTGCAGTTTTAGTGAGGGAGAAATAGGAAAATTCACCCCTTACATGGTCTGACTTGTTAGCAGGCCAATCAGTAGAGACTGTCCACAGCACTGTCCCTCATTATGGTGAAAAACGGTAAAGAATAAAACAACACAATCAAAAATACATAGGAATGTCAATTTTATTCTTTCTGCAGCTCACGGGAGCCATGACCTGCACACAGTAACTTGTTCTAATAACCTTACAAACTGAGAACAACGGGGATAAGTATTTACATTTCTTAACCTCATCCTGTTAAGATGGTTGCCTAGAAACAACACCTTACCTCAGAACAAATGGAAAAACTATATTCTCCTAATGCTTATTCAGAACATTTTGTTGAATTAATTTCATGAAATTTAAGGAATAGAAATAATTTCCCATTATACCTTTTACAGCATAGAATGCATTAAGATACTCCATGAAGAATAAATGAAGTCAATGCACAATGATAATATACTCTGAGAAATCCTCTATAGATAAATTCAGACCTGGATACGACACACAGAAGGGTTGGTGGGGTGACTCAGCTCCTAATGATATTTCATTTAAGTTCACTTTCTCAGCACCAGCACAAGTTATTAATAACTCCCAGCATGCTACTTAGTTCTGCGGATTCATTTTCCTGTTAATGGTAGCAATAGGTTCCTTGTTAATGGTTTTAAGATAATGCTGGATGTTGCCATATGGATGGGCTTGTACGAGGGTTTCTCATGAAAAGCCAGGGAGTGTAAGAAATTGTTGCTATATTTAACTGCCGTGTCCTCACATGCACAGCAGACAAATGGAATGGACAGCATTCCAGCATTTACAAGTGCAAATGATGCTCAATATTTACTGCACGTTCTGTTTAAGAGGACTACAGGGACTTTAAACAAGACAACATATGGATAGATCAGAGGATGGATAATGGAATACTGAGCTTTTCACCCCTAGGTCACTAGTTCAAATCTAAACTGGTCGGTAATGAAGGAAGCTATTACCATATGACAGCCTTGGCCTCTGCAAATTGTTCTGTCAGGTTCTGCCCATTTCCCATCAAGCTCAAAATTTACCATTACAGTTTGCATTCCTGCAGACAATTTCACTTCTTTTCCCTTGGATCCTATCCCCAGAGCAGAAAGCACAGAGGAACAGTGAAAATTACACCACCTGCATCACAGCACTTAGTTCTTTGGATAAATATGATTTCTGTCTACAGATTGCCTACAGATGAAGACAAAATCCTAAGGACTAAAGACTGCCTATTACTTGACTTGCAATTAGCAGGAAAAGAGAGATTTGTGCAAGATGATTAAAATTCCTCAAAAGTCACCAGCAAGATTTCTCGCTGCTCCTCTTGCCATCAAGCATTCACATCTGTGCAAAGAAATGGCCTTCAATGATGGAAATACACACTAACTTTGGAATGATGACTACAGCTGCTGTTGACAGAAAAATAAATTAAAAGGCACAGATTGGATGAAGGCATGAAGTAGAATATTTCATTGGACAAATTAAATTGTTGGAATGAATGCAAGTAGAACATGTTATAAAAGTAAAGGACATGTAAAAAGGTTACATGAGAAAAACAAAAAGGTTACTAAGCTCTACAAACACCAATAAGCACATTTCCCACACAGCATACTTTTATTGGATCTGAACACTAAGTCAAGCATGCAATAATAAAAACTCAAAGCTTTTTCTTTTTTTTTTCCCCTTTCAGCCTCCTGCCCCAGTTTGTATTTTGTATCACCTTTTACATCTTGCATAGTTGCACTGTAAGTCATTTGGGACAGCTGCAACTGTTCTTTGTATCAGTATGTTAACAAAGCTCTCAAATACAATGGAGCCTCTATAGTGATCACTGTGGATAGAACTCCTGTAATTATCATGTAGTACCGAAGAGCTCTACCACTATTATTTATCTTTAGGCAGCACTCTTTCTTATGAAGCTCTAAAAACTGAGAAATACGAATACTTTCTCTTCTATGTACCCTCTGTGAAAAATTCACAGAAGATTTAATGCCTAATAACATCATCAGGACCGGATAAAGAAGGATTTAAGCTCCCGTTATCCTTTTTAATGAACTCGTGACGACAGTCTCAAAATAGACTATTAACCCAGAACTGACAGAAAAACTGACATAATTTTACCTGTACAGACTAAAAGAGATGAACTGAAATGCTTTTACAGCCATCAGCAGCACAGTTTCCAGCTTCTCCATCATACCTGCACATACGTTCATCTATACTGCACAAATCAAGTGCACTCTTCTCCCATCCCCTATGCAAGAATACGGGGCGGGGAGGGGGAGGGAGGGGGGAAGGCTTCTTCACAGGCATTGCTGAACCAAGGGAAAAAAAGGTTCTTCTCTAACTCAGTATGAATGACATGCAGCATGCTTGATTAGACACACCTTTGATCAGGTGCTGGAATAGAATTTAAGGAGTATCCAGTACACTGAAATTACCTTTAGCTCTATCTCTTCTTAAAAAAAGACTGATTTCCAAAGACCCACTCATTTTTTAAGCCTCAATACATTTCTTGCATGTCATGTTAAAGTTACACATTACCTCATCAGTTCAGTTCTTTGCACATCAATACACACGTGCCTACCTAAATTGCTATTGTTTTCCAAAGCTGCTATTGAATTCCATGTATTCAGCAGAATAAAATTTTCAGTCTTGGATTTGTTCTCAAGTCAAGAACAACACAAACCCATAGACAGGTTTGTTTTCAGCGCATACTCCTTTCTTTCAAACCTCACGAGAGATTCTATGACTGCTCTTCCCATATTTCATGTGTGTATTCTCTTCACGATTTTAAAACTGAGAATTTGTTCTGAAACCTGAAAAGCTCCCTGGATTCCCTTCACATACACAACCAGGCACTAAAGCACTCAGAGCAGCTGCCCTCGGCTGAGGCCAGAAAGCCATTGTCTGCAACTTTCTGAAAGCAGAAGGTGAGTGCCGTGTGGTTTCTATTTAGGGCCGTAATCCTCGAAATCCCCGCACGTAATCCTCCTCCTCAACAACGGGCTTCAAATGGAATCAAATCCAGGAGAAGCAAACAACTTCTGGCTTTAAAAGTAAAACCAAGCGCACGCTTTTGCTTTCTTTCAGCCCTCTTAGAGTAAATGCAACCGTGCAGCTTCTTCTCGCCAACAACTTCCCAGTGAGTTTAAGTTGGAGCGGCGGCGACCAAGTTACCACCCGCCCCACGGCAGCAGCGGGGCGCCTCGTTCAGAAGCTCCCTGCCACGGAAGCCCCCCAGGCCGCGCGGCCACCCGCGGGGCTGCGCTGCTGCACAGAGCCGGGACGCCCGCGGGCGCAGCTCCGCGAACGCGTACGAGCAGCCCCTCGCCGGGGCTTTTATCTCTAAGGGAGCGGACCCAACCATTTCCGAGCGGGGAAGCCGCGGCACCTGCCCGCCCGACTCCCGTGCCAGCCCGCCTCGGCCTCCTGCCCCCAGCAGCTCCCGGCGGGACGGGACGGCGCTCCCCCCCCGCAGCCGAAGCCGCGCACAGCCGCAGCGGGGACGTGCCGAGGCGAGAGGGGCGGGGAGCGGGCCCCGAGCCCGGCCTCGCCCCGGGGCGGCGAATCCCTACCTGCCGGCGTCCCGCCGCCACGCGCAACGTACCCTCCCCTCGGCCGCCCTCATCTCCCGCTGCTATAGCTACGGGGAGCCGCGCCGGCAGCCTCTCGCGAGACGCGCCATCTTCCCGCGAGAGCCGCGGGCCGCGCCGGCGGCGGGGCGCCTCCTCTCGCGAGAATGCAGGCGGTGTCCCGTGCGACCGCCTGTTCCCTCGCACCTGCCGTGCGGGTCAGTTTCCCTCAGCCCGTGTTTCTCAGGCAGGGCGGCGTAACCCAGCCCGTCCTAACAGAGCCCTACGGCTGCGCCCGCAAGGATCGGAAGGCGGGCCGTAGCGATTCCGTGTGCCTGTGGGGCGGCTGAACTCCAGGAAGCCGTGTCAGTGCCGAGGTGGCTGTGCTCTGGGCAGGTGCGGGCCTGGCCTGGTTGTGACTCGAAGCACTTTGTTGTAGATCAGCGCCCTGAGCCGGTGCAGTGGAGCTCGCTGGATAGAGCTGCCTGGGTAGTAATGTCTGCTTTTTGCCAGAGGCAAATTAAGCGTGCTTGCAGAGCGTGCGTAATTCCTAACGATTGCAAAGTGCGGTGTGAGCGCTGTGGGACACGACTCTGGCTGAAGGGAGCAGGCCGACACGGTCACGTCTGCCGGAAGTTTGCATGGAATTCATGTGAGGGCTTGCTCAGGTTCGAGCCATAGCATCACATGTTCAGCACCACCTATTTGGGTAATGTGGACATGAATTAGATCTGTGAGAATTCAAAACTCTTCTTGAATAAATTTGTGTTTTCATTTTCTGAATAGGTAATACCAGTATTTAGCTCACATTCCTTGGATTGCATTAGCTGCACTTTGTACTATGTAGTTTTCCTGTTAGCAGTGCAGCGTACTGGTAAACTACTGACTCTCAGGCAGCAGGAGTTTTGGTGGTGCCCAGGAAACAAATTTTGAGCTTGCTGGAGCAAACAGCTGCTTTCCTATCAATTTAGGATTGTGCATATAACGATAGGCTGAAGATGACTGGGGGGAATGCCCTTACTTTGGACAGCTAATATGTCCCTGTTAGTATTAAACATCCTCAATAACTCATTTATCTGACAATAACATGAAGATGTGAGGACTAACACTTTTTCCTTTGTGCCCTTGTATTTCAGTGTTCCCAAGGTCTCAGAGATACTGTAACGATCCCTGGAGGCATACCACCAGTACTGTAAGTTGTGGAAGTTCTTTTTAACCAGCTGTTGAGCCCTGTTTAATGTATAAGAAATGAGTTGATGCCAGTGTTCTTTATTCAAAAGATGTATGTCTGTATGCCAGAATTACCAACTTCTGATAATTCAGGCTTTTCTTCAACAATGTGTAAAATATGCTGGGACTACCTTTTGTTTTGCCCAGGGCAAACACAGCATACTAGAACAGTGTAGATAGGTGTCTGCTCAACTGTTGTTTCTTCTATGAACAATAGAATGTGCTGCAGCCGCTGCAATTAAATTTCTGTCACTACTAAAAAAATACAAAAATTATTTGTACATTTAGAAGGATACTTATTTACTCTTCATGACTTCCTACTCCATTTCAGTCTTTTGCTTCAGGAATCAAGCCAACTATATTAGGAGGAAGAGCAAATAAAGAAGGCCTCAACCCTCTCCTGGGGACCAGAGATAATTAAGAGAAACATTTAGAGAGAGTAGGTATAATGAAGCCCTGAATCCATGCTAGCTTCAAGCCCATTATAATATGACTGTTTTTATAATAGAATATGGAAGTAATTATTCATCTGATTCATTCATCCAGGCACTCTGGAGTTAGACTAAAGCACTCTTCAGTGTAATTGAATTTGTACAGCATCTGTGAGCAAGGAGTTCCTGTGCCATATGGCTCGTAGGTTGTCTTTAGGCTGGTCAGCAGAAAGTTCTTTTTTTTTTGTTGTTCCTTATCCTTCCAGGGACCACTTTGTTTTTCCTGAGGTGAAAAATGTATAATAAGATTGATGCTTAAGGCAGGAACTTCCCCTGGTAAGAAAGGGAGGTCTACAGAGTCCTTATTTATCCTTTCTATGGTGGGATGTTTTGCAGAAAATGCTTTGCAGTACAAACAGAGAGTTGTTTATTTCCTTTTTCAGTGCTCTTAGTGCCCTCCTTGTACTGTTTCTTCTCTCCAGCTCCAAATTCAGGGACCAGGAGTGAAACAGCAGAGCTGCCCATAGCTCATGTCTGAGCCGGGGAAGAAGTTTAGATGTTTGCCAGTCTTTCATAATATTGTCATGTCTCCCCTCTCCAGATTTCCAAGAAATAAATATTTCTGGTAAGCCCTATTAGAAGAGTAAAGAAGAAAAACTGTTTTGGTTTGGCACCAAGAGAAGAACTTATAACCATAAATTAATTTCTCCTTATTTCATGCATGTATTTGTTCAATGTAGCCTTTTGAGAATGTTCATTGTAACTCTGGCTGTAGCTATACCTCTAATGTTTTCCTACTTTTAAAAGGCAGTGGTCATTATCTGCCTTTTTTGGTTTTGTTGTTTGGCTTTTTGTTTTGTTTTGGTTTTTTGTGCCAGTTCTATCTGAAAGTAGATTCCATAAAATTTTCTTTAAATGAAAAAGATTTCTGAAACTAAAAATATTGGCACAATTTTGTTATTATTATCAAATAATGAGAACAAAAAGAAAAAGAACTTGCAATTTTTCTTTTAAAGAGTTGGAAAATGTACACTGAGAGTTTTGATATGAAATGTGATGGCTGCTCCAAAAGTAATACCTCCTATTTTATTATGTTGGCCCTCAACATCAGAGGCAGATGTTGGTGGAATGGCAGCAGAGGCTGAACTTTCTCAGCAACATTCTGCTTTGTTGCTGTGCGACAGGTGGCAGCAGAGGGGCAGTCTAACAAAATTGTGTCTGACATGGAAGCACGCATGAAGCAAAGGTGTGTCATGAAATTCCTCCACGCAGCAAAAATGGCACCCCTTGATGCTCAGTGACACCTGTTGAATGTTTATGGAGACCAAACAGTGGATGTGAGCACAGTGAGGCAGTCGGTGGTGCATTTCAGCAGTGGCAGCAGCAACATGAAAGACAAGCCGTTTTCCAGATAGCTAAGCAGGCTTGTAAAATGCATGGCTAAAGCTGGTGACTATGCTGAAAAGTCGTGTTTTGTAGCTGAGAATTTGCTCTATCACACAGTGTTATTGTCCTTTTTGTGTCTCTTGGAGTTTTTACAGAAATCAATTGGAGGCATCACTTTTGGAATGACCTTTGTAAGTGATATTTCTAGAACATTTAATTGAAAATTTAAATCAGAGCTTGTATGTGAGATTTGTTTTTTTAAGCTGACAGTGGTTACCTTTAGGAGCATTCCTTCGGAGTATTTTGTGTAGTCCTTTGCCCTTTGCTGCATGTGTTAGCACAGTATGTGTCAAAGCAAGAACTTAGACTCATTAGAGTATCATTTAAGCTATACTGCAAACAGAAGATGATCATCAGGGAGATGATAACACTTCCTGTGTGATTAATACATAGAGAGCAAGAGGTGTAGCACAGAGGCACAGCTAATTAATTACACTAGCTGAAGATATTTTTACTAGTAGATATATGATGCCATGAATATAATTAAATGTCTTGAATCCCACATACTCAGCAGCTCAGAAAAGTTGTAAGGTTCCACAAAATCTCAGTTCTGCATGCATCTGCAAATTTTGCTTATCTGTGGTTCTGGTCAGGCACGTGTCCAAGATATGTTGAACAACTTGTTTTAATTAGTCAGTAAGTTGCAATTTGAGGAGTTTGGCATAGATTAAATTGCATAGAAACATATTAATGTGCTCTGAGCTAGCAGTCTGGCTTACAAACTTGTCTAATACATATCCAAGAGGAGTTAGCATACAAGCTGCTGTTGATGGGCAGCTGTGAGCTCCGTAAGTTGCCAGAGAAGTGCTCATACCAGCTTGCTGTGCCAAGGAGCAGTCCTTTGGATGTGGGATGTTTGCCCGATGGTCACACCTGTGGCAGTCAGTCTTCTGTGGAAAAGAACATAAACTTTTGTCAGGGCAAGCTAAGTAGGAGGAAAAAAAAAACCAAACCTTTAGTGCAATGAATATTCAAGCTTTGCACCAGGAGACAGTACTCCATGTGTGGAGACTAGGGCTATGTACAAACATGTTTTCTCCATAACAGAACAATTGGTTTTGTGCTCTGTCTGATGCTAGCCCTGTTGTAGAAGAGATGTGAAATGCAAAATGAATATATAACATTTTGTATATTGTAAAATGAATACATTTTTTGTGTTCACAGTATGAATAAAGAAAACAAGTCAAACAAGATGAACCCATATTCTACTAATAGCTAGAAACTGTTCTAACCTTTGTTTCTGAGAGCCACTAAGCCTAATGACAAAGCCATCTCCTCTAAATGCTCTGTCAATAACAACAAAATGTAATTCCCAGATGTTAGTCATATGAATTATATTCTCATCACCACTAAGGATGAGCTGCTTATATGAGGCAGTCTGTGATGAGATGGAAAGCCTTTGATTAGGGAATATGTTGCAGTCAAATGGAAGAATTTCTGCAGAACACAGAAAAGTGCCACTACCTGTCTTACAGTTTACAGATATAACTTCAGACAGGATTTTAATATATATTTATGGATAGTAATATTGAGATTTGTTCAACTTCTTTCTGTTGTATTAAATGCAGGGAGTACTTTTTTACATGTTTTCAGTATGGCTTGGATGATTCTTCATCATACAATTCTCAGTACATGAAAGAAGCATTTCAGAGCTTGGAAACTGAAAATACCTAAAAATGTCAGAAGATTTTTGTTCTAAACTGAATGTCACAAAATTGTAACCAATCTTTCTTTTCATGGATTAGCCCCTCTCTGTTAAATTCTTTTTTGGCTGCTGTTCCATGGAATATAAGTTTAATGTCTGAGGGGATTGTATCCTGCCTTTACAAGAGGGTGGGAACAATATTTTGTTAGGTCCTTTTTATCTGTGACTGCTATGATCCTGCTTAAAAGCAGATGGCTGAGTTTCCATTTGCAGCTTCTAGTTTGTGGGGGGAATCCAGTGTAATTAAATCTTAGAAAATCCTCTTATTCACAATATAAGTAAATATCTGACAGAGGCAATTCCCCTGAGTCTACATCATTGCCCAAGGAAAACAAAGAGCAGAAGCAGAAGAGAAACTAACATTCTCTTAAATATTTGAACATTTTGGACAGACTTCTGCCCTGATTATATTTGCTGCAAGCCTCATTGAAATTAACAGAGTTGTGCCAATGATTTTTGAGACAGAGTTTGGATTACTGATTCTTCTCACTCTTAACATTAAATTGGATAATGATTGAAGTAGCATATAAATTACACTATGTAAACAGAAAGATAGTAGTTGTCTGAATTGTTGTACAAAATGTAATGTTAGATTTCCCATTTTGTACTAGAAGCAAAAGCACATAAATTCCACTTAACAGGATTTGAGGTTGAAAGTGTACTGGCAAAAGAAGAGCTATATGCCTCATTAAGCAGATTTACCAAAACTGAAGGATCCTCTTAGCTTACAAGTATTAGTAATGAAAGCAATATTAGTGATAATTTGTAATTATACAATACTAATTCCAATCATGTTGCAACTTCTTATCCCCATTTAGGGTTTTGGAATAATGAGGCACGCAGACAAAAACTCTTGTCCAACAGTATATTATGAACTAGGGAGAGCTTCAGGAGTGTATTTAGTCCTTTGACCTACTGGTGTATGTTGGCCCCTTGTATGAAAGAACTTTGAAAACACACCGCCAGAGAGCACTGTGCTATTTCTGCAATTCTTATCTTTCTCTGCATTTTTAGTTAGTCTTTCTTTCTCAGTCCTTTCAACTCAAACTTCAAGTACTGTGTAAGATGAGGTCGTAATCTTCTCCAGAGGAAATAAATATGATCTTATTGCTTTTAAATTTATTCACTAAACTGAGTTCCAAGTACATCTTTATCATTAAATAAGACATATAATAAACTTCAGCAGAATGTTTAGGAAACTACTCATTCATCACTTCTGTAGCTTGATGTTGTTAGCATAATTTTTAAGAAATCTCCATTTCTGGCTGTAGCCATTTAGAGGAGAGGAACAAAGCCAACCTTGCAGCTATATAAACAATAAAAAAACATACACTATTATAGGGATTTCTCATTGAGGAAGAAAAAAATCCTAAACAAGAAATACTTCAGTGGAAACTGTACCTGCAAATAAGTTTTCTAGCCTTGCTTCTAAGAGGAAATGTTCATCCAAAGAATTCAGCAGGACAAGGAGCTGCAAACCAGTCTCTGTGCAGGCTAAGCCAGGGTACAGTGCTGAAAGTGCTGTGCATGTCATGTGTCAAAGTGCAAATATCCACAAAACAAAGCATTTGGTGAAGACAACCAATGTTCTTTATTTGTTTTTCACAGTGCCTTGCTTTCTGCCTGTGTGTGTTGCATTGATACAATTGTTACAAGAAATGGAATCCATTCTGAAGCATATTTGAATAAGTGTTGCACTGTGGTGGCTGTCAAAAGTATTTCTGTTGTAATGAAGACTTCTTATTGCTTGATCTGTAACTATAGACACATGATCTCATTTGAAAGTGCCTCTGTTCTCTTCCAGCCCATTGCCTGCTTGTTCTAAGTGAAGAAAACTAAACAATTGCTTATGATACACTTTGGAGAACTGAGGTATTTCAGATGACACTGCAATACTGTAACCTGTCTGTTACATCAAGAGACATGGTTGCTACTTTATCTCTGTTGCTGTTATGATTACATGTATCCTCTCAAATACATCATTCCTCACCACCCAAGGTCTTTATCCAACTCACCCTGATGCATGTATACTTTCGTGCCTTGATCTATACCTGCCTATCTTATGACCGTCCCAGACCTTTCTTCTCATGCTAACAGCCTTGTTGTGAGACTGAATCTTTTGTTATTGCTAGTCCTCAAATTGATCCAGCAGCATTTTTAAAGAGAAAAAGCAGAATTTTTTAATTTCATCTTGGTGTTTTATTACTTGTGAATATATGACAAATTTATTATGAAGCAGACAGGCAGTATTTAGCATTGCTAAACAGAAAACAAATTCCTAATTTTGCCCTTTTATGCCCCGGTAAATAAAAAAACTCCTTTCCTTCAAACTGTTTCTGACATGGATTTACACCACAGCAAGCATTAAGCTTAGAAGTCACCAGAAACTTGTTGGGGCTACGGGCAAAAAAAAAAAAAAAGGACTCACAGGACTAGAGTTGCACTTTTCAGCTCCTTTCTACCATCTTGCAAATAGAAAGGGCTAAGAAAAAAAGAAAGACTTTGGGGTAGGGATTTACAGCTCTTCTGTTTCACCACTTCTCGGCACATTGATGTCAGTATGGTACTCAGAGGACTCTCCTGAAGGCATCCAAGGTATTGGGGTTCTGTTGAAGGAGGGTCTGTTTCTGAAATTTTGATTATATAACACAATAGATTCTGGAAGCAAAGGGCAAATATCGAACTGAGGCACTTTGAAGGTCATCCGTTTGGCTGCTTTCTCATAACCCCCGTATGGCATGGCAGTCCTGGCAAAGGAGAAACAATGGACTTAATGCAGAAAACATAGGTAAACAGTGAGATGTAGAAAATAAAGAATTAAATACATTGAGATAGTACATTTTACTGCTGTTGCAACTGACTACCAAATCCTGCCCAAGAGCATACATATCTATTGTCTATGTGCTTAAAAAGCAACAACAACAAAAACAGGAAGCAAATCCTCTCTGATCCTGTGCACTTCTTTAATTTCTGCTGCATAAGCCTCTGTAAAACTATACAGCTTTCACACCTGAAGATATTCTTTACATTTTGGAGGCAGAGGCTGTGTTACTGCAGAAAGGACTGGGATTTGTTATTTCCTAGATACTGATGTTCTAAAGCTACAGAAGTAAGTGCAAATCATAGAGAGGTTAACATAAGATTGTTGCTGCACTAGAGATAGCAACAATCTATTAAACTTCCAATTCACTACAACCTTTCAGTTCTTACCAGAAGCAGCAGGAAGATCCTGATTCTTATCTGAAGTACTGGCAAGTATATGGCTTCTGATATTGAGCATTTTTCCTGAACTCTTGAACTTTAAATAGCTACAGTAATAGGCAGTGGCATGCCAAATGTGAGGAGAAAGAAAGGGAAATAGGATTAAAGTCCTCTTATCCTGCTACCTAGGTCTATAAGCTGAATTAAAATCTCTAGTTCTTAGTGTATCTTCTCTTTAAACGTCTCCAATCTTTTCACCCACAGGAGACTGCAATTAGTAAAATGACATGCAATTAATACTAATTTACATTGCACAACACAGGAGAACCATGCCCCAAACTATTGTGGTTATATGAAAGGCAGGTTGTGCTTGACCAACCTCATCTCCTTCTATGACTGGGTGACCAGACTGGTAGATGAGGGAAAGGCTGTCAATGTAGTCTACCCAGACTTCAGCAAAGCCTTTGACATGGTCTCTCACAGTATCCTTCTGCGGAAATTGGCTGACCGTGGCTTGGACAGTTTTACCCTCCGTTGGATAAGGAACTGGCTGGAGGGCCATGCTCAAGGGGTGGTGGTCAATGGAGTTAAGTCCAGCTGGCAACCCGTTTCAAGTAGTATCCCCCAGGGGTCGGTGCTGGGCCCATCCTGTTTTATATCTTTATTGACGACTTAGATGAAGGGATTGAGTGTATCCTGAGTAAATTTGCAGATGACACCAAGTTGGGAGGTGGTGTTGATCTGCCTGAGGGTAGGGAGGCCCTGCAGAGGGATCTAGATAAGCTGGATCACTGGGCTGAGGCGAAGGGGATGAGGTTTAACAAGGCCAAGTGTCGGGTCCTGCACTTTGGCCACAATAACCCCATGCAGGCTTGGGGATGAGTGGTTGGATGACTGTGAAGAGGAAAGGGACCTGGGGGTGTTGGTTGATGCTCGGCTGAACATGAGCCGACAGTGTGCCCAGGTGGCCAAGAGGGCCAATGGCATCCTGGCCTGCATTAGAAATAGCGTGGGCAGCAGGAGCAGGGAGGTAATCGTCCCCCTGTACTCAGCACTGGTGAGACCGCACCTCGAGTACTGTGTTCAGTTTTGGGCCCCTCACTACAAGAAAGACATTGAGGCTCTGGAATGAGTCCAGAGAAGGGCAACGAAACTGGTGAGGGGTCTGGGGCACAGGTCTTATGAGGAGCTGAGGGAGCTGGGATTGTTTAGTCTGGAAAAGAGGAGGCTCAGGGGAGACCTCATTGCACCCTACAACTTCCTGAAGGGAGGTTATGATGAAAAAAGGTCTGGCCTCTTGTCCCAGGCAAATAGTAGGACCCGAGGAAATGGCCAGAAGTTGTACCAGAGGAGGTTGGACATTAGGAGAAACTTTTTCTCTCGGAGGGTGGTCAGGCACTGGAATGGCTGCCCAGGGAGGTGGCAGAGTCGCTGTCCCTGGCAGTGTTCAAGAGGCGCCTGGATGAGGAGCTATGAGATCTGGTTTAGTAGCTTGTGGTACTAATAGGAATGGGAAGGTGGTTGGACTAGATGATCTTCCAGGTTTCCAACCTTGTGATTCTATGATTCTATTATTTTCATTGAAAGTAAACGGAATTCTATATCCCAGAAGACTTACCTGTTAAAGGACTTGTAATGGGGGAAGTCAGCTTTGGGACTATATGATAGTAAGTCAATGGTCAATTGACTTTTGTCCTCAGGGCTGATACCCATTGCTCGTTCCCAGGGGGAGATGTAAGTTTTAAACAGAGGTTTTTTGCCTCCTGATTTTCCATCTGTAAATAGATGAAAGTAAAACCATCTAATTAGATGACAAGTACCCCAAAAATCACACCTTTCTTACTATTGAAAATCTATCTTGCCATTGAAGCTGAGGCAGCTAGAATGTATGGTTAGATTTCTCTAACTATGAGCTACTTCCGTCCTTATCCACAAAATCAGATGTATCACAGTCTAAGAGCCACTCACCCAGAAACTTGTTTTAACGCATGTATTTGAAAGCTATATTTTCATTGTTCCCTCTGGATGCTCAAAACTCTCACCTCTCACTATTTCAGGGAAGATTCTTGGGAAAGGCAAAATGCTATCTAGTTTCACAGATTTCTTTCTCACAGGGATATCCAGAAGTATAAAAGCCAGATTTGATATAAAATGAACATTCTTCCAGAATGTGTATGGAAAACCTTGAATTTTACAAGTCACTCAAAGTAGTTGTTCACTTATGGTACCTATTCACAGTTCCCAAGCAAATTTGCTTTTTGTTATTAAAATGCCATTGGAACTGTTAAAATAATTACTTCATCTGCTGATTTTCATGCAAGGGATTTGATTCTGGAGCCTTCTGGTGAAACTCAGTGGAAGATAAAAATACATCAGGACTAAAATCAGTGGAAGATACTCTGCCTCATAAAGATATTGCTTTAAGTGATGATTAATAGATAACATTTAGAAATATTGCTGTTTCTTTCTTAATATTACCCCAAATGTGTTAGGTCAGACTACTGAGCTAAAAAGCTACTCCTACTGTCTCCAGTAGTGTTCAACATGAAACCCTTCAAAGGAAAGGTCTTAGCTCATGCTGTACAGGCATATTGCTTACTAACCTTAAAAACTCAGGATTTTCCCATCATTTCTTTGATTCAATCAAGGCAGGTATTTCTGCTTTTTGTTTATGAATGAGCAACATGGAAACACTCAGTCAAAACATCTTAAACTTTGCAGTGTAGTTTGTAATAATACAGGTTTTAGTCAATTTCATTTACTTGTCTCTAAGAGTAAGGCACAAGCTCTGATGGCTTTATCTATTTCTTGCTCTTGCAGAGAGATACTTGCCTTTCTCGGTACCATGACCTCCTTCTCCAGCGCTTCCAGCAGATTTCTCTGCATGCTCCCCTTCGCTGTCTCCAGGGCCTCCTTTGCTTCCAGGCCTAGGAGAAACGGTGGAATAGTGCTGCTTACTGGAGTCATGATGCCCTGCTGTCACTCCTCCTACCATCCGCCCATGGCCATAACCATGAGCATCTTCTCCATAATGCCCTCCTGGTGGGATGAACCTCTGAAAGTGATCCTAGGGCAAGAGAAAAGAGAGTAGAATTCTATGTTACAGGACATTGGTTACTCACACTTGCAGGATTCAGTCCCAGAATGCAAACCCCTGACTCCCAGGGTTCTAACCAGGCTTGTACTGATTACAAAACCAATGGCAGAACTTTGTGTGAGTTATTATCTTTATTCAGTTTAGAAGCAGTTTTAGCAACACAGACAACTGAAGGACACTTTTAAATGGGCGGTTCTGTGTCCTGTCCCCAGCAGTGATCTATATGAAATACAGAAGGAAATAACAGGTAAAAGTTCAAACAGAGACAAGCGATAGAAATTGTTTCATGTGGGAGCTAAGCATTAGAAAGCACAACAGCAGCAGGATACCATTGGCAATGTAAAAGACAGATAACTGCCAGTATGGCTGTTTTCCATATATATGAAAGTCAGCATGGGGAAGTATTTATACATTGAGATTTATGTTAAAGAGCTAAAGCCTGGTTTATGTCTTTTCTGTTGGAGTAGAGGATAGGCTACAAGTATGCAAACATACCAGAAATAAAGCTGAAGGTTACTGAATCTGTCATTCCTCATGCTGCAGTTCTGCTTGTGTAAATTCCTCATGGGCAATCCTTGGGAGGCAGAAGTGCTGATCTGAGAGCTCCCAAAGGGTTAAGTTTTTCGCAGGGCTCTTACACCTAGTACAGTTTAGCAAAAAGCAGCTTTCCAGGCTGTAAACAGGCTTCCAAGGCCAGCTGTTCGGTCAGCTAAAAATAGATGAGAAGTAAAAACCTCACAAGGCTCTAAGGTAGAAGAATTATCTAACCCTCTGCTCCGTGCGTCTCCAGCAACAGTGTCCAGGGTTTCACAGCAGGTCACCAGGCTGCAACTCAGGCAGGGAGCCAGCTGCAGGCTGAAGTGGCAGAGCTGGTGCCCCCAGGGCCTTTAGGGACTGTCCGTCCTTCTCCTAGCTGTAGGGAATTCCCTTTTTAGGAACAGAGTAGATAATGTTCCTCTGAATGTCAGGAAGCACTGAGAAGGGAGAGGATTGTGAATATGAAGCTTAAGCTGTATGCAGGATCTAGCAGGGCAATCTGTTCAATTACGTATGGGAGCTACGTAACTGTAAAAAGGCAAGCTGAAACAGGGATTTTTTTTTTTTGAGGGGTAGGGGTCAGAATGAGGTTACTCTCAAAAGCTTAATAGATATGGAAGATTAATGCTTCTACTGATATGCTCAGTAATTTCAAAGCAGGATTTTCCTTCAAGTTTCACCCACGCTGCATACCCTTCCTCAGAATTAAATGCTTATCTTTCTTTTCCTGTGCTAACTTACATTCACTTTTCTGGGGAAAAGAAAAAGAGAGAAAAGAGGAGGGGAAAAAAGGATCAAAAAGCATTAGGAGTATAAGGACAACCTGAACCACAGTAAAATGAGCTGATTTGAGTTGAGTGCACAACAGCAGTATTTGGTGTGACCAGGAAGGGGCATCATTGCCATCTTGTGTTATTTTAAATTGCAGTATTACCACTAAACAGGAGTGAAATTTTCTGAAACACAAAGTCTGCCTCAGGAAAGCCACAGTTAAATCCTACTTATCTGCAAATTGAATTAGCTTGATTGGTCTCAGCCTACTTCGTGATTCTTCACTGATTCATTAGGAAAACATCCTTTGTTCAGGAGACGTATCCATTCAGATAGGAAAGACCCATTTTCCATGCAATTTCCATGCAATACCCCTCTACTCTAAAAAACTCTACTCACCTACTAGAATAAATTGTTTTCTTTACTTTTGGATACCACAATGGACTATCTTAAATCAAATTTACAGGAAAATCTATAATATAATAAAAGGCAAAGGCAATCTATCTTTTTGAAATCTTGAGTCTTGGAGCAGAGCTTTGACATAGTCAAAGTTTAGTAAGTGCAACTTGGTCTCTGGTCAGGGTGTTCAGAGAATTTATGGCTTTCATTTGGGTAAAATGCATGGCTTGTAGCACTGGTAACAACCTGCATATTCAAGATGCATATTCACATCATAAAAGTCACCTCGCAGGGTTCACTGATCCTGATGCTGGAAGTCCCAGGAGAAAAGCCCAAGAGTGTCAACTGAGAAGGCTGATAACCCTTTTCTCTTGGCCCTGGGGACAGATCACAGTCCTTGTGTGTTGCGGTATGGTTAACTCTGTTTGGGTGTTGCTGGAGGTAGGAAATAGTCCCAGTCCTTAGGCATCCCTAAATTTGCCTTAAGAAAAGAACAGTTGTGGAAACTTCACGTGATGCACAGTCTCCTGGCTCACCTAAACAATTTGTGCTCGTGTCTTTGAAGTGCTTAGCACTAGCGGGAGTCTGATTCTGCAGGCTGAGTGCCTGGATCAAATTAATTCTGAATTCTCTAGGACTGCTGCATGTGTCTCATGAAAAATAGATGATGAAAGATGATCCAGCTAATGGAGCTGAGATCTCTAAGTATCTCAATGCCCTGACGTCACTGCAGGCAGTCCCCGGGAGGAGACACCGTGTGCTTCCCGTCAATTCCTTGCAGTGCCCTAAAGAGAATGATTGAGGCCAACATATGTGTTTCTATTTCCGCCTCAGTGATAAAGAGCTTCCCAAAGACTTGATGCCTATGTGGTTACTAACACTTCTGAAGTTACTGTGACTATGTCCTCTCAGTAGCAGCCTCCAATGTTCCTTTATGGTAGGATGGCTGATTTAAAATTTAGACGCTTGAATATGAGAGCAGGGATCACTGGATAAGATTGCCTGATGTTTTTATGAAAACATAAGGTAAAGGGGTGTCCGTCAGTCCTTAATTTGGTTTTGCACAGCCTTAAGCCTGTGATTCACTTTTTATAAAAGGATGAATATAAAAAGTAAACTCAGCTGTTAAAGTATCTTAAGCTATTTTATTTTTTTAATCGTGTTCCCCCAAGAGGCAGTTAAGTTGGTTCAGCTCCCGCTTTCTATTTCCAGCTCTATATCTGACTTGCTTTTTAACTTTACGCAAAGAATTTTTCACTTCACTGTCTGATTTTACCCATCTAAATTATGTTAGTTTTTATCTAATGCTAAAGATTTTTTTTTAATATCTTATTTACATGTTTTTTATAATCCTTTCTACTTCATGGATGAAAGAAACTGAGTTTCTGAACTTCTGAATTTCTGTCTAAACTTTTGTCACAGTGCTCCAACAAACTGCTGTGGAGAAACAATGTCTCTTCCTCTCTGCCTTTCTACTTTTTCCATGCCAGTTACCACTTGAACAAGAAACCATCAGATTTCATGTTCACACAGTTTAGGACTTAATTGGGACCTCTAAGTCTTCCTTTAGGTCTTCTGCACCAATCCAATTCCAGCATAGCAAGGCTCATTTTATTAAAAAAAGTTATATCTCAACTGGCTCACTCCACTAAAGTCACACCCTTGGAGTTTTTTTATATCTCGGCTTATTCAGTAAGATTTGTTCAAGGGGTTTAATATTCCCAACAGAACAGACTTCTAAAAAGAGTGTTTTTCCTAATATTTTCACTTAAAACCTACCTCCAGATCTTCTTTGGCATTCCACTAAGTACATATAATAAAAAGTGAACAGAGCCAACAGTTTATGCTTGTGACACAAGCCAAGTAGCTGCATGGTCGCTCTCCTGTTCTTCCACCCTTATACTTTCCTTGAAATGTTATATAATGTTTGGCCGTTTCACATGTGAGATCTGTGAGGCAGGCTGTTTGTTAGTGTATTTTTGTCTGCTGTGATGCACCATTTTAGGCATTGTAACATAATCACTTCCATTTTCTACCTGTCACTTCTTATTCCACTGGGTTCTTGTTAAGCTGCAAAAGAAATACAGGGTATCTCCTGTCACTGTGCAGAAGAACAGTAATCCAGTTCTTTAACCCTTTTTCAATTCCTATGTTTTGTTTCACATTTGGTATCTTAGCTGATCTGAAGAGACCTCCTGACTTGAAGTCCGGCAGAAACTACCTACCCACACATGTTCAGCTTGTCTTCACACAGACATTGCCAAGATGTGGGAACTGCCTTTACTGTAACTTATGGGCTGTGCTGAGAATATATGAAGGTGGATTTTTATGTTTGTGGGTATTGTTTTTTTTACAGATGCATTACAACTGATAATTGTCTATGCAGATATTGGTTATTTCACTACGCTAATGGTTCAAATTTAAGATGTGGTAGGCAAAGCTGAAACAGAAAAAAATATACACAAATCACATCCCTCTATAAGATATATTTTCCACATATAGCCCAAATCGGACCAAAAAAATTTGACTTGCAGAAAGAATATTTTTAAGGGATCTTACTGGAAGAAAGACATCATAACAGCAACATCCAAAAAACATAACCATGGTTTTGTTTTCAAACAGTTCCTATCTAATGATACCAGGAAGGTCTTTAAAAAGATTCTGAAAGCAGAGGTGGGACATTGTAAAGAGTAAGGGTAAAAATAAGTGGGGCTGCAGGGCTAAAAAATATGGTTTCAATTGATGTTGATGTATTTGAAGACAAAAATATAAATATTATGATGTGAAGAAAAGGTCTGTGAACTGCTGTTCTAATTCTGAGCAATAAAGTGCAATTTAGGAGATGCAGAGGTAGGACTGAGACCCTCTTTGTCTCAGTTTCACTTTTAAAATAATGGATGAAGTATTTCCTTCCTGTAGTGATTTGTCAGATGCTATGGCAATTGAGCACATAGCTAGCTAGAATTTTGCAATGTTCTTTAGTAAATAACAGACTGCACTTTGCAACTCCACAGTGAGGTTGATAATATTCTCTGAGACATGGAATGAATTGTAGTTCCTGCACATCTCCAGCATGGTACCAAACAGGGAGAACATAACAAGAGCTCTCCCTGTTTGTCAGGATATCAGTGTGCTAAAAATGTCAAACTCAGTTCTTGCAAAAAGCATCCCTATATACTGTCTATTTTCAAAAGAAGAGGCACAATATTGAAGACTGCTACACAGCAGGTAGTGCATTTCATTATGCTCATGTTGGTAATGTTCAACCCTTTTGACTGTGGTAGTAGCTACAGTTTGCCTTTAGCTGGATGCATGGACATGTAGCAGTGATAAGAGGGAGTGTGACATGTTCTCTTTTACCTGGGCTATCTGACATTCATGCACATGCAATATGTATGTTTTCTCTGGTAGAAATAAGGAGAGTGATCTGATTGCCCTGCATGGTTGTTTGAGTGGCTGAGGAAAAGGAGGTGGAGGGTGGAAGCAGGAGAGTGGATCAGTGACATGACCGCTAAGATCTTTCGCCTTGTGTGGAAGGTTTACAGCCATAGCACAGGCTGTTCTGGAAACCCTTATATGGTTTGGATTTATTTTTAATAACCTTTCACTTTGTCTTGTTTTTATATTACATTACCTTGCTATTAATCTTTTTTTTCTGGAGGGAATGAAATCATCTGTACTCCATTCCAACCCTTTCTTGCTTTGCTTTGCTGAGTGTTTCCTGAGAACTTTCTAAGACCATTAAGAAATCCATGATATAAAAACAAAAAGAAACACAGCACCAGCTTTAAATCCCTTCACAACTTGAAGGCAAAATAACTACTCGGGGATGAGTAGCAAAGGACATGAAAATTAACTGGGTGGAGGAAGTGACTGGAAATAGTAGTAGGAATTCTCTACCCTGCTGTTATCTTCCTCTCACTGTTGCTTTTCATTTAACCCTTATTTTAATCCTCCTTTGAGCAAAGCCAGGAGCAAGAAAGGAAGGGACCAGATTGCTAATCAAATAGTGCAATCAAAAGGTTTTTTTGATAAAGTGATTTGATGCAGAGGTCAGGCATTTTCCTGATGGCTTGGAAGAGAACAGTGAGGCCACAGATCTGCTGCCTTTATCTAGCTGCCTGATAGCAACCAACCCTCCAAGAGGATGGCTCTGTTGTTGAGATCACTCAAGTTTTCTTCTTGCTGCTCTGGCTGCCAGCTGAGGTGCTAATTTGTGCTGGCTGTGATGATTAGAACAGTCATCTACAAAGGCAATGGATGCAGTCTGGCAGTGTCGTTGCACAAAATGCACAGGGCAGCCAGCAAATGGTAACAATTATGTTTGCGGCCCTACTAAAATGGCCTCAGTCAAGGGCAGTAAGGCAGACTGAAATCTTTCTGCACTGACCAACAGAGATTTGTTATTTGCTCTGTCAGCGTAGAGGAAAGGTAGCCCTGAAAGCAAATCAGAGAGGATTTTAACGCAGAGTACCAGCTGCTCTTTGGAGACCCTACCATTGTTCCCATATAGCAAAGCCATGAAGAAAATCCTAACCTTGCTAAGGCCTTGTCTAATTCCCAAATACATTTCTCCACAGCAAATTTACTCAAAGAGCAGGAGAGTCTGGATGTCCTTGCAGAATAAAGGTAGAGGTTCACTACAGAAAGGGTATGGAATGAATGTCAGATGTGGATGAATAAACTTACTGAAAAAATAAAAACAACTAGCAGAGAATTAGTGATTTTCATCAGCCTTTGTAGTGTGAGTCTTGGAGAGACCCGGTATTTCTGTAAACTTCAGTATCTCTGTTTTTGCAAATCCAGTTCTGAGCTAGTTTATCACAACTCATGTTTATACTCATGCTGTATTTCTCTGATTGGAGACCCCCAAGTGACAGCTTCAAATTTTTGCACATTTGGGCTTCAGCCTTTTCATTCCCTCACTTTATTTTCTCGCTCCTCCTGCCATCCTCATTGTAGCAACCCTCATATTCTGACATAGGAACTTGGCCCTCAGTACATTCTAGGAGCTCTGGGATTGCTGAATATTTATAAAAACAGCTTGCATTTCTCTAGGATTTCCATCTGCAGAGTCCAGAGTTCAACACGCTGTTCATTCTCACATCTTTTCTAAGAGAGCTGATTGAACTGCCTTGAGGCACCAAGAGGTGAAGAAACTGCCAAAGTTTAGCAACATGATATATTTTTGCTGCATCTCTGATCTGTCTTTCCTGATCTATAATCCAACCTACTGCTGCAATTCTAATGATTCTTTTCAGACATTTTTCCACATCCTGCTTCCCAAATTGTCAATTTTAGGAGTCAAATACAAAAATTGCTTTTGAAAATATCAGAGAGCTAAAGAATAGGTGGGTTTGTTTGTTTGTTTGTTTGTTGGCAGAACATTTTCTTCAGCTTGACTTTCATCTTTTGCTCAAGTTTTCCAAGACTGGAAAGATGCCACAAAGAGACAAAATTGTACCACCAAATAAAGCTTAAAGACAATCAGAAGATGAGATGCTGCATCCAAATGTTGTTTTACTGAATTCCTAACATAATGTAAAAGAAAAGTTTCATCTTGTAAGAGTTTATATATCTTCAGAAGACTTTACTTCAGGCAAGTAACTGAAGAAAGATTAAATGAATCATGGGAAAGAGGAAAAAAAGGCACTGCATCTAATAGGGAGTCATTAGAAAAAAGCCAGCCATAGCTTCCAGCAAATAAACTGAATAAATTGCAGTGTCATCTTGGAAATTTCTATCTGAATTTTCATTTATGGAATTTTGTGCAGAAACAAGAAGGGGACTGTGCCCAGTAGGAGGAATAAAATTGTACCCAAGGCTCAAAATAGAACCTCACCCACTGTTGCTGAAGTCAGACTTGACTAGATCGCTTCCATCTTGCAAAGGGAAAAGGGGATGGGTACAGCACCCTGTGCAGTTCTGAGTGCCTGATAAACATACAGTCCTCCCTCGTCACTCAGTACTGTGTTTTCCCATGCTGCTATTTGCATGATACCAAACTATTCACAGAAGGAAACTAAAGCTGCTGCCGAAAGAAACAAAAAACATATGTGTTCATCTAATTTGTTTGGGGTTTTTTCTGCACGTCTTTGCCCATACGCATAGAGTCAGAAAGAAAAGAGCTTGTGAACCTTCCGTTCCTGTTCTGCCTTGATGCACAGAACAGCTTTGCAGTTTTAATTTCCGACCTACCACAGAATTGTCGCTGAAGGCATCGGGATTATTCTCATAAATGAACTTCTCCACCCTCAGCTGACGTAATTTGAACATCTTGGATCCTTTGTTAGTGAGGAGAGAAAGTTCTTCCAGCATCACATCTCTGGGGATGCTGATCTTCTTCCCCAGGTTCAGCTTGGTCACCTCTTGCGGCATGACTACAAAACACACAAATGGAACATGTTAGGAAGTGCTCTGCTCCAGGTCTCTTGTACGTTGCTTCAAAGCAGCCAAGTTCTCATCTAGATTAACTTTTTTAAGAAACTTTCATTTAAACATTATCTTGAAACTGTGGCAAGATTTAATGATGTTATTGTATCTTTTTGTTCATTTGTTTTAAAGAGAATTTTTAAAAGGCAAAGTGATTGAACTTCTCTTCAAGACTTATCATGCTGGTTACTAGGTAACTTGCTTTCCATGTAATTTCGTACCACCAATTCTCTGTCAAAGATACGGATTCAAACATTTTCAGTATAAAAGTCTTCCATAAGTGCAGCTAGAGTCCTCCATCCGGAACCAAGCAACTTTACTTACACTTTTTTTCTATTCTTATTATTATTAAGCAAGAATTCAACCACTTATCTGCCTCAGTTTCTCATTCACAACAGAGAATAAATCTTCATCATTAAACTGGTATAACATTGGTATAAGCCCATTCTCATTTTAATAGATGTTCTCTAGAGAAATTTCTTATTTTTTAGCAAGCCAGTTCTATATGACACTGTTTTCTAGAACAGGAGGAAACGCCCTTTAGCTGGAAATTGGATTTTTACTTACTTGTTTACTTCATTACATGACTGGGGAAAAATAGAAAAATAAATACATGTACCCTAATACAGAAGTTTCTACAGTCCTTTTGGGGACTTGAAGGAAGTGGCAGCACTGAATTATTACTTTTCCAAACCTCCAAAAGCATTCCCCACACTGTTAAAAGTAAACAGATTATGTCAGTTAAATGCCACCCTATTCAATATTCATGTTTTCTGTAAAAAGAAAAGTGTCCTGAGTTACACTCTTTCTGCTGTTAACCTCACTGAGAGAAATTGTCTTTTTCCACAAATAAGTGCTGGAATCAAAGGAATTCTCTCACAAAGAGGAAAAAGAAATTAGAGGCAAAGATTCTAAGAAAGAGATTAACATGGAATTTAAGTAGACACTGCAGCATCAATGCCCAGAAAAGATAATATTCCCTTTCCATTCACATAGGTACTGTGTATATGAAGTGTTTAATAGGAAGTTACAAAATGTGTTGTGGTTGAAGGCTCAGCTTTAATAATATCTGGGACCCTGCCTCCTGGTATGTTCAATGCATATCTTGCCCTAGGATTTCAGTCATGTAGAGTGTGAAATTTTGAAAGCTGAAATTCAGGTTGAGATCCAAACAATTCTCATGTGTGCAGTTTTGCATATCTTACCTTCGTGTGTCAGCTTCCCAATGAGTTTAGTGGGCTTTTTCCTTTTAAGAGGAGCAGGAGTCCCTGCAAGGGGCATTCCCACAAAGAGTTCTCTGCTTTGCTCTAAATACACAAGGAAATGGAGAATGAAACATGGAAAGGTATCTTTTGCCTATCTTTTAGTTGCCATCTGCAGTTAAGAGACACATGGTCTTCATTTCACACACAGGTTCTATTCTGTCCCATCCGCATGGAGGAGCAGAATATTACGGTATTCTTTGGAGACGTTGCATTAGGACACAGAATACAGCAACAGGGCACAGCAGAAGCATTGCAACAGCACCACATAGCAATTTCCATCCAAAATAGACATTATAGTTGCAACGTGGCAGTCTTCCAGCACACAGATGTGCCACAGTGGTACTCTGTTACCTTGTGCTGCAGTAACAAAGCATCAGTTTGAAAAATTGCTCTGTCATAACATGCTATAATACCATGCAGTTATCATTTGGAGGTTATATATGTTTTTGGATGAAGATATTCAGTCTGTCCATGGGTTATCTGGGAGCATTTTGAATAATGTGCCAGTTTGGTTTGGATGTTCTGACAGTTTTATTGTGATTAGAATATTCAGAAACCCACTATACCACAATTCCTGCAAGACAAACAAACAAAAAACCCTATGTCATTCTGATTTGTTGCAGGAAGGTTGGAGAAAGAAGGCACAGGCAAACTTATTAAAGCAAAACTTGTTTGTCCAAGTTGTTTGAAGTCAGTTGCGCCTTTATCTTATGGATTGATCTTATCATGTATCATTTTGGAGGGGGGAGGAGAGGAACAGGGAAATTTCTTCTTGTACTCTGTTTTCCATCTTTGTCCCCAGATGGGATAAAAGTACTTGAAAGTCAGGGAAAGCTCAGAGAAATCTCAGTAATTCCTCTTCAGACAGCTTCAGTCTCTCTTGGCGGTTATTACACATAACATAGCATAACATAAGTAGGTCTACTGTCTTGCCTTCACTTTAGCACTGTTAGTGCCCAAACAACAGCATACAGGGAGACAGATCCTCATATAATACAGTACAGAGGAAATATAAACAAGTAACAATCCATTGGCTTCAGCAAGAGAGTATAGTAACTGATCATCTCTGTCCTTGCAGCTTTACTTGCTTAAAATTTCAGAGCAGAAGACACGAACTGTGAGTTATATTTATATAACTATATATATAGTTATATATATAAACTAGCAAGCAAAGAAGTAGCTCCAGGAGTTTGCGCACTGCCCTTGTTGTGCTTGAGACATTTTTATCTTTCATATATTTTGCAGTTTTATTCCACCATTGCTCCTTTTGCAACATGATTTTCCTGTGATGAGGTGGCAACAACAGCTGAAAGCCAGTCCCATTAAGCCAGCTCCAATCATACTGCCAGATACTCTCTCGGATTATTTGTTTTCCTTTCTGATTTCCAAGCTTTTCTCTTTACTGAGATGCTGCCAGTGTAGTTCACATTGTAGAAGAGCCCACCCAGGCATATTCCCTAAGCAAATGTGAGCAGGTGCAGCCATAAAGCACGCGCTGCACATTCTCCTCGAGCAGGCAGACATCTGCTTGGCTATATAAAAGAAGGAGGTCTTATTTGACAGGAAAGAGGCAATACTGCCAAGAGTCAGGGGTTGGAAGGTTACAGCCCATCTAATGGGCCACAAGACTGGCAAAACAGAGGGAAATCGTCTGCATGCCCCAAATATGGATTCCTTGGGGCAAGACAGGAAGGGTTGGCACTGTTAGGGAACTGTGCCCCTCCAATACGTTAATTCCCAAGGAACGGTCTGTCCCTTTCTGCTGTCCCTCATTCATCCATCAGGACTGAGGAGTGGAAAACCTACTACAAGGAATGAGTTAACATAGGGAAAATGGCAGCAGTCTTCAGTACTGGCAAGGCCCAAATCCACACCATGACTACTGCTCTTCCTGCTACCCTATCATGGGATGCTACTGGAGCCTCAGTCCCCATCTTCCCTGCTGTACCATACGTAAAGTCAGGGCCACAATTACTCTTTTCTCCCGTTCTGCCTTTTCCTGCATGACTCTCTGCAGCAGTCATTTGGTTGTTTCTGCTACAAACCAAACTAGTCATTACCCTCTCCAGCCCCTACTCTAAATTATTTTTTTTCCAGGTCAACTCACCTCAGGCTTGCAGTGCCACGCTCAGACCAGCTCATGCACCTCACCCACAGCTCAGGAGTGGGCCGTTTCCTCCCAGCCTGTCTGTGGATACTGCTGGGGAGGCTCGTCCTGCAGCCTCACTCACCCAGGGTGCCTCCTAGGTGCAGGCAAGCTCTGCCCAGCACAAAGTGCTGATGCAGAGTGCTGTGAATTTGACTCTTGAAGTCTGTTTGCACAGGCATCCTGAGGTTATTAATAACTGACAGCTCAGAGTGCAGAGTCTCAGATAGCACTGCCACAAGCCCTGAGGAGAGGGGAAAGGAAAAGGTTGCTCCTTGGGCCTCCTGCAGTCCCTGCCTCAGTACTCGGGAAGGCCAGACACTCCATACGTGCCTCACTCCTTCTCTTCTGTTCAAATCAATATGCCATTCCTCTTCTCTTCCTTCTATTGCATTTTAGTAATAGTTTCTAAATAACCTTTTTCTCAGTAAGGCCTCAAAAAAACAGTCTGAGGTCATGCTCTTCTTTACATACTTCTTCTGTCCCCTCCGCTCTCCATCATTAAACTCAACCTCCTCTAGGCTCTTATATATAACTTTTAAAATGCCAGGCATTCAAATAATACATCAGAAAGCATAGAAATAAAGTAGTCATATACATGAAATAAGAAGTAGTGCAAAGTCTAGAAAGCTATTTAGAGAGACTTAGGAAGTAGCTTGTGCAATGTGTGTGGGAAACCCAGAAGAATCAAACTGCAAGGAAACTCTTTTCCTGATTCATAGAAGAAATAAGGTTGGTTGCCTGCATGTTGTGTAGCTCTGTGTGTGCAAATTACTCCTCTCTTTTAGCTCCTGCTTGCTCCTTCTGAGGCAACTCTACCTGTTCACCCAAAACCATTTGGGTTCTCCTTCTAGGATGGAGAGAATGTATCTCATCCTACTAGGTTACTCAAAGGTGTACATACCATTCAGATTTCATGTAAAGCAGAAATCCTACAGAAAATGTTGTCTCCTCCATTTCACATCAGATCAGAATCAAACTGTCCAGTAAATAAACCTAGAATCTAGTGGGGGAAAAGCAACACAGCATTGTTTGTAGTAGAAAGTAGCATGCAGAATTGCAAATAAAATTGATATTGTCAGGATATGGGCACTTTCTCTTTTTCTTTGTAGAGGTGTTCCTTCATGCACCAAATGAGTATATAACTTCCCAAAGTGATCAGTGTGTTGAAAAGCACAAAGCATTAAGAGTGCTGTAACCTTTATCTGTGAGGAGGAAGTAGATGGGCACAAAGGCAATCTCCTAGCCTAAATTTTCCCATTTTCCCCTCACTTGTATTCACATCATCTATGTGTGTACCTCACATTGTGCCTGTAGCACAGCTCTTAATCTTCTCCTTTCACATCTGGAGTAACACATAACGCTTTGCTATGAGCTTCCCTCTGTCCAGACAAGTGTTGCATTCTTCACTGAAACCAGCAGATGCACCAGAATGACCCATGGGGGCCTATTTCTTTTTGATAATCAACTAATGAATGTGATTTATACTATGGGGCACAAAGCTGAGAAATGCAGCTACCACTATTTGGCACCTTCTTGTGGCTGCTGAGACAATGTTAACTTAGCTTCATCTTTACTTGCTTCTAGCAACTGTTTTCAGACCATTTTATAGCTACTGTATTATTTTTCCAGTCATCTCCTGTGCTTTCATGTGCACAAATTATACCTCCAGGAGACCAAAATCCTCTATCCCTATCCCAAGATGCAAGAGACAAGTGAAGTTAGGGGCAAGGCAAATATGGTGAGACGTGGGACCTAAGAGTGCAGCTGGAGCATACTGAACAGAGCCAGAGCCTTGAACACATACGGAATATGAGAAAGGATTTATCCTATTAGTATGGCACCGGGATTTGTAGGGTGATTTGGATAAAGCAGTCTTGTGTCTGACACTTAACCACCAAAGCACATCTTTAACTGAGATTCTCACCTCCTACTCTGTCTTCAGATAAAACTATATGTCTCCCTTTTCAGTTGCCGGGCTGAGAACTAAATCCTGCTCCTTCCTTCTCTCTATGCAGTTTCCCTGGGAAATAGAAATATGTAGTTGAGTAGTCTAGAAGCATCGTTGGTAGGCTTGGGAGAGACTGCAACTGTGGTCCGCCATGTTGCCAAGTTCAGCAGCTTAGTGGATTTTTCCACTGGTGATATTATTCCAATCTGTTATCTCTGCTTTCAGTAATAAGATGAAAACAATGTAGATAATAAGTAGGGTAGGGCTCTACTCAAGTCTCGAAGCTTTAAATCACTAGAAGACTTGCTTGATGAGTTGCATGGGTGCTTTTTGTTTCTCTTTTTGTTTGTTTTTCATTTGTGTTTTTGTTGGTTTCTTTGTGTTGTTTTGTTGTTGTTGTTTTTCCCCTTCTTGGATTGTGGTGAGATGTGGGGGCTAAGTTCAGTCCTTGCTTGAGTATGGAGTTTCCACGTCGGTCAGCAAGGATAGTATGTTTCCTGCCTTCAGCACTTCAGGGAGGAGTTTTTAATCATACAAGAAACTGCCCATATGTCACTGTGGCCACCTCCCTCTTTCCAAAAATACCTTTTACTTAAGTGGCCTCAGGAACAGCCTGCACAAAGCATTGCTTTCTCTGTCCAGTATATTCAACGTTCATTTTTGTGCGGAGTTCCCATGTGCCTGATTTCAAACAATCTAACTTCTAATTGTTGATGTCTGTGAAATTATTTCAAGAGCAGCAGATGAGATCTGTCTCATCAGGTAGCACTAGATGGACATAAGTAAGAGCCAGTCCTCAGCAGGGCTGTCTCCCAAACAGATTTTGACTATGTGAAAGCCTGGCAAGCAGAGTTTGTCTGACAAATAGCCTTCACTGTTTTAATTTTCCTTTCTTTCCCTGGAGCCCATGACTAGTAAC